CATCCTTTCAATAAATTGGTCCGACTAATTCTCAAAATATAATGAGTTGTCTACTCCAGTGATGTAAGTGGTATAGGGCAACCCAGTTTCAAATAGACTTGAACAAAATGTCGTGGATTTGAAACCCACCCAACACAGATGATATGATTATTGGAATTTGGTGGTGGTGCAGTGCGTAGCGGAAAAAAAGTTTTTAAGAAACCGTATCATGTAATATCAACACACACTCTCTCATACGTACTTGCTATGAGATGACCCATCTCAGGGAAGCACGCCAATTTTTCTTTAGGTGCAGGTCCCTTTATGTAAGGTACAAGAGCGTGATAAATTTCTTCAACTTTATATTTATTCATGAATACACATGTGTATATGTTGTACCCAAAAATTTGTCCTCCCATTTTTGAAGACAATTGATTCAAGACACCTCCTCATGCTCCTAGGATTCTCAATTTCTCAAGAATACTCAAGGGTTTGAACATACAAGCATCTCTCCTAAGCAATGGTCTACAATTAGGGTTTTGTGATTCTCAAAGAAAAATGAGTTTCTAATGTCTCAAGTGAGTTTCATGGTTTCTCATATGCTTCAAGGTACACTCATTACAAGTTTCAAGCATTGCATCACAAGTTTGCTCAATCAATTGCTCAAATGAGTGAAAATCAACTGTATTGGACAAAAAGTCAATTGTGGTCAACATACAGTCAAAATTCAATATTTTTGGTCAACATCATGATTTTGAGGTCACATTCATCATTTGATCAAGGGTTGATCATGATTCATCAAGAAAACTCAAGATTCATCAAAAGTAAAAAATTGCTAAATTAGGATTTTCTTTAGGAGAAGTCAACTAAACTTTGACCAAGCATAACTTTCACATGCTTCATCATAAAATTCTCAACCAAAGCCAAATTTGATGTAAGTTCAATTCTCTACAATTTTTTCTCTCTAATCTAAAGTTCAAAAAATGCTTCATTTGAGGATATGAGCTAAAACGTTACAGGTCAATTTGAAAGTCAACAAAAAGACATCTTTTGTCAAAGAAATTTCCTTCAAGTTAAAGAGTTAAAATGAAAAAGTGACAGACATGAGAGTTGTATGGGACATCTTGAGCTTTCCAAAAAATCCAAGATCACCTTCGTATGACAAAGCTTGAGTGTGATATGATTGGTGCAAGTTGAGAAAATTTTGAGAAAATACAAGGTTCCACTTTGAGAAAAATTGCATTTTTGGGCTAATGGGCCTAAGTTTTTAAGTTCAAACGTCTTCATGAAATGTTTAAGGACCCATAAGCCCATTCATGCATTATATTTTATTTTTATTTCATTTATTTTGATTTTTATTCATTTAAAAGTAAAATAAATCAAATAAAATAGCAAATGATGGACCAATGCATGTGGGCTTTTGTTTTGGATCATTTTGAAGCCCAAGATCACACATCCAACTTGCCAAAACCGTGTTACCTCAATATGGAAAGAGAATTTCATTTGTTTCAAAAAAAATTTAATTGGTTTTGGCAAGAATCTTCAAATTTGGAAGCTTGAAAACATGTTTTATCATGTTTGATTCACACTTAACTCCCCATGATTGTCATTCATTTTTGTTTACTTAATATGATGTTTATAAATAGAGGATATCATCAGTGAAGAGAGGACACACATAGGTTGCTAAAACACTAAGGTTCCAAATTCACAAAATTCAAAGAAAAGTGCAAAATTCGTATTCCAAATTCCAACATGTTTCAATTCAAACCAAAAATATTTTCTTATTTAAATTGATTTTCAGTATTTTATTTTTGTTAATAAATATTAATTTAGTTAATTTAGTTTTAATTAGGAATAACTTTTAATATATTTTGCAATAATTAAAATTAATTTAGACAATTAGGTTTTATTAACATTGATCAAATTTATTTTTATTTCTTTAAATATCAAAAAACCAAAAAATATTTATTTTCATTAATTAATTAATTTATTTATTAATTTAATAATTAACTTAGATCTAATTTCTTTTTAATTCAAAATAACCAAAAAAATCTTTCTTTAATAATCAAAGGGTCAAAACCCTAGAACTCGTCCGATTTAATTTCCCGCACGCGTTCCATTTTATTATTATATATGTTTCCTAGGATGTAATAGTTTGATAGGACTTTACTATTTTTACCCCTTTATTTATTTTCCACATTTTAATTTCAAGGGTTGCTTTTGGCGATGTAAATACCCGACGCCTTGTAATAGTTAGTTTAATTTCCGCAACTTATAAACTGTTAGATGTTTGGTAATAGGGAATGCATGACAAAATCGAATGTTTAACTTAAAATCAATATAGATAACCATTGACATATACAAAGATAAAATAAACTGAAAACAACACACTCGCACATGCGCACTCTTAGGGTACACCTCACTTGGTTGCCTTCAAACGTGGTCATTGAGTATAGGAAGTTTTAGAGGTCGCCCTCTTGTCCAAAGATCATAGTTGCCTCGAAACGGTTGCCTCGGAAAAATGATCTAAGACATTAGGGTTACCGCTAAGGCGTCCTAACATTGCTTTAGTGACCGCACGTCCCTTAATTGAATTGAACCTTAAATTCCAACGACGGTGCTACCTACTCACTAATAGTGGGATAGCATTGTCTAAAGGACATTAGCACAGATTGATTCCTTTTTCGAGTAGGTAGATGGTTCTTAAATACTTGCTCTTTCCGAAACAAAATAAACTTTTAGCACTTACACTCCTTTTCAAACAAAAACTTCTTCAAACCCACAAACACAAAGAAAAGCAATTTTGAAAACACTTTGAGCAAGTACCTAAGAGCCTGTGGATAACCACGGATAGAAAGGGTGCTAACACCTTCCCTTTCTATAATCTACCCCCCGGACCCGAGAAACATCTCGAAAAAGGAATTTTTATGTGCTTTTTTCCTTTCCTTGTTGGATAAAATAAAAGACGGTGGCGACTCTTGTTTACCGCGACATTTTGCAAAAACAAATGCAAAATGCGAACCAGCATTCCAAAAAACAGTCAATTCTCTCCCACCGTATCACAACAGTCGAGGAATGTTTAGCTTTTGGTCTGAAGTGAATAGAAGACGGGGAAGCTTAGTTTCCCACAAACGACGCCACTGATCTTACCTGATCAGAGATGGACCGTCACAGCTGGCTCGGGCAGAGGTTGAGTGAGATTGGGGGGGGGGGTACCTGCAAGACACTCTAATGGCAAAGTAAGAAGCAGAATGAGCAAGCAAGTAAGAGTTCTGAGATATGAGTTCTATACCTGACTCTCTCAAAAGAGAGGGTATTTATAGCCCCCAGCGCCGGGCCAAGGTCTCTTTATTGGGCTGATCAAACATGCCCAACAAAGAGACTGTCCGGTTCTACGTGTGTAGTAGGGACCCGCACGTGGCCCCCTACCTGGATAACGTCCTCCGTAAGACAGGGAGGATAACGACGCGATCTTTCTAGGACCATGAAGACTCCGCAAAATCCAAAGAGGTTGGAAGTCATCCCTACGAGAAAGATGCTCGGGAGGAGCGTGTGCTCGTCGGAGATGGTCTCTGCGAACACCGACGAAAAGCAGTCTTGATCGACAAGACATTTGTAGTCAAAATGTGCTTGATAAAAATACTGCTCAGCGCAGCAGGTTGACGAGCTTGAATTAGACTTCACTGGTAGTTGGGTCAATGACAGTCCCAGTCCAAAACATTTATTAATACAAAAAATAACATCATACTCTAGACTTTATTTCAAATAGGTTAATGAAGATATCATATTTAGCTATTCATAGAACTGTATATTTATATAATTATATTCACACATTTCATTTAAAATAAAAGTTTATTATTTATCATAATAAAGCGAAATTAATGTTTCAATAATAAGTCATTTATATAGAATTACGTATAATTAAAATACTTCATGAAATGTCATGTCAGTTTTAATATCACAATATTGATGTAATAATGATTTAATTTCATTCTAAATTTGAATGACTTATCATATTAAAAGCGGTTTAATTCTCCTTTATTATCATTATAAATTTAAACGTAATCAAATAATGAGATTAAATAAGATATGCATTATGAGAATAAGGAAAAAGGATTTTTTTTTTCTTTTTCAAATTGATGAGATTAAATAAGATATGCATTATGAGAATAAGGGGAAAAAAGATTTTTTTTAAATAATTAAAATTTTCAATTTTAATATTTAACTAAACAACCTTTCTCTATACTTTTCAATTTAATTATGTTTCAAACAAAAATTAAAAAAAAAGATATCATTTAAATTGATGTTTTCTATATTCTTTTTACTTTTTTCTAGTTATCTATGAATTTATCTCCGAGTTTGGTGTTATTTACGAATTTTCTTACAGATTTAACTACAGACAAATATGCATAGATAAATTTGCAGGTAATATTAAATTTGTAGATAAATTCAAAGATGATTGGAAAAAGTAAAAAAAAATCTTCTTTAATATATTTTTTTTATTTTTTTTTTGTTTGAAACATTATTAGATTGAAAATTGTGTGAAAAATTGAAAAAATTTGATTATTTAAAAAAAGTTTCGGGAAAAAGTGTGAAATGAGAAAAAGTTTCACGTTAGTCTCAAAATCAACCCCAAGTTTAAAAAATTAACAGTAGTATAGTGACGCTAGAGTTAACCTAGGTAGTTTTTATTTACCCATAGTTACTTTTTACATAGTTACTTCTTACCGAGTTTGTTAGGGTGAGTGGTAGTAGTAAATTTGTAACAAACATTTTGCTCTAAGAATCTTCTATCTTCTATCTTTTACCTTCAGGAGTCTCTTAAAATTTAAAGTAAATACTAATTTCTTGTAACTGAAGCAAATATTTTATTGTGGTTAATAAATATTTAAAATCCGCTACAGTTGTCATAACAAACAAACCACTCAGTTATATAAATTAGTAACATCATTTTATTTCTCTATTTTCTCATTTACAAGCATTTGAGAAAGAATTGGAGTTGAAAAGCAGAGAGAGAAATCATGAACTATGGAAATCAAGTGAGCGAGATCCATCTTCTTCTTCTTCTTCCATTTTCCGCTATTCTCTTGTTTCAATACACTAGTGTAGCATTTTTGTTACGATTAAGCAATCATCACTTGTTTCAATACACTAGTGTAGCTTTTGATTTTGATTTTGATTTTGTTTTTGTTTTTGATTTTTATTTTGCTTTTGATTTTAAGTTTTTACATTTTAATTTCTCTCTTCAATGTAATGCATGATGTAATGTTTTTAGCATTTTCATTTCAACGCGAGTTAAAACGTATTTTCAATCATACTTCTCGCATCTCCTTTGGCGGTGGTTCTGTGTATTCACCTACGGTAGTTCTGTTCTTAGACGACTGATATCTTGCCGTTAAGAGTGCGTGATGGATTGGCTTTCCGTCTAAGCTTCTTTTTAGTTTATTTTGATTTGTTTCTTTCTAATATGTAGGTTTTTTTTTAACAATAATATGTAATTATTTCATTTTACACAATTAAAATATTGCATTTAATATTTATTTTAAATAATTTTTTCAAGTTTAAATGAATACTTCTATATTGATAGTATTTATTTAATTATTTTCATTTTATTCAACGATTAAGCAATGATCACTTGTTTGAACACACTCAGTAAAACGTATTTTCATACTTGTCGTATCTCCTTTGACGGTGGTTCTGTGTATTCACCGGCAGCGGTTCCGTGTGTTTAAGCCGTGGTTCTGTGTTTTCACCGGCTGCGGTTCTGTGTGTGATTGAATGGCTTCCCGTAGAAGCTTCATTTTAGTTTATTTTGATTTGTCAAAAAGTTATACCTATTTTGCTAACTAAGTTAAACTTTAACGTTTCCTAATATTAGAATTTAGATCCTCTATTAGGCATTAAGAATTTACTATTTACACAAAGACTTTTCCTGAAACAGAACTAAATTAAAAAATGTCACAATTAATTTGTTTATTTTTTTTTTTCATTATTGGTAATCTTCTACATAGTTATGACAAAAATAAGTTAATTCTAAAGTTCTATATATTATTTGCAGGGTTTTTATACCCTTCAGTTTGATGGTGCATGCCGTGGAAATCCTGGACCAGCTGGTGCAGGAGCTGTACTGTTTGATGAAAATGGGAATGTGGTATTAAACTAACGCAACAATTCAATTAGATTATATTCTTTAACATGTAGATGTAGCTTACTCATGTTATTTTCTCCACAGCTGTTTCATTTCCGCAAAGGGCTGGGATATCAGACAAACAATGCTGCTGAGTATCATGCATTAATTTTAGGACTGCGACATTCAATAATGAAAGGATGTAAGCACATCAATGTCCAAGGAGACTCCCATCTTGTTATCAATCAGGTTTTTTTTTTCTATTTCATTATGTAAGCTTAAATGTCTACCTGAGTGTTGCTATTGTCAAAAAAAAAACTACCTGAGTGTTGATAGCATAAAAACACCGTCCAATTGTTCACAAAATATATATTACACGTGATTTGAAAATTCGAACTAATGAACACAGTTTTTTCAATAACAACCATAGGAACTATTCCTTTCCAAAAAAAGAAAAGGCTTATTTAGATTCATTTATTTTCATATTCCTCCTAATTGGTTTGATATTGTTTATGATTTACCCATTGCTCCTTTTCACTTAGTGTACATTTTATTTTCTAAACAGTTTCAAGGTTCCTATAGAATTAACAACCCGCATCTAAGGAGCTTATGTGATGAAGCTTTGGGGCTGAAGTATAACTTTTCCACATTTGGCATCAAACACATATCTAGGGTATTTATTTAGAAATTTGGTCTATAATGTTGCCCGTCTCAATTGTGTATTACTATATGATTTTTAATTTGCATGTGTGTCAATATATATATTTTCTTGACATTTCCAAATGCTTGAATAACTAAATTATGCTAAATAGAAGCTTGGCATCCTAGTTATGTTTTTAGAGATCACATGCACCAGTGACATTAGGTTCTCAGTTATATGAATGTTTACTTTCAGTTCTGACTAAATTATCTCTTCGATTTTTATGTTGCAACTCGTTATGTTTTTGCCTCTTAGTTTACATATTACATGTTTTTAACTATTTTTTATTGTTTAAAGGACTTTAACACTAATGCTGATGCTCAAGCAAACCTGGCCATTAATCTCCAAGGTTAGACTTCAAGACTTAGGTTTCAATTAATGTATGATTCTTTAATTGAGAATCCCATTAAAATGCTGCCAAAGCTGCATTGAAATCAAAAAGCATCTTTGGTTTTTATTTGGTTTTCTATTTCAATTGACATATTTTTCCTTCATTAACTTTTTGAAAAACTATATTATGAACAATATGTTTGCTACAAGATTATATTTTGATATTTGTATTTGGTAGGGAACATAAAATTTAATGGATTTTAAACTTTTTTTTGCAGAGGGTCAAGTTGAAGAAGATTGTTTCTATTAATGATTATCTTGAAAGCATTCCACTGGCAAAAACTATTGGCACTATGTTACATTTCTGTCTAGCCATTTAGCATGTCGGATGTTGTTTGCAATATTGTAAGTTGAACATGCCTCGGTGAGTAGTTGCGATGTTCACCATTAGCACCTTTAGGACCTAAAAAGTATAGTTGTGATGTTTAAATCTTACGTTCATAACTCTGGAATTTCTATTTCCCAACTTCTTTAAAACTCTTTTATATGTGATACTGATGACCACCATTACTATAAATGTTTGATGTTATGACCCAAAAAGTTAGGGTACTTGTAAAACACTAACAACAAAAATCAGTAAACTTAGATTTTGCAAACTGGCTATCATATAATTGTTGACTTATTCTTTTAGAAGAGTTAAAGTAAGTTAATGTTAATTTATATTTTCACATTCAAAAAATGAAGTGTTCTACTTCAACCATTTTAAAAATTAAATACTGTTTTAAACATCTTCTCCTATCTTTTAGTATATTTTATTATTTTTGTAAAAATCTTATAATATATTTTTGTTTGCAAAAAAACCCTTTAATAAGATTTAAGAAAACTAATTTGACAAAAACGTGTCTTATGAATTAGCTATATTTGACATTACCGGCTTAATCTTCAGAAGCCACGGGTCTCTTTTTGGAACATTACTAGGAGTCCACTTGTTTTTTTATTTTAAATTTAGCTATATTGTAATCATTTGTTAGAAGTTGCACTTGATGAATCTTGTTAGTGCAAGGTAATGAAATTGAGGAAGAAGAGAGAAATAAAAAATGACGGCGGTTGATGATTGGTAATGAAATTGAATTATATTAATGAGACTTAGGTACACCTATTTATACACAAAGATAAGAATGTCATATAGGCCCTAAAAAAAGATAAACTTCCAAATATAGCAAATACTAAATTACCCTTTAATACCATCCCTTAATTTAGTATCTATTAGAAACTAATTGCCTTCGTCAGAATATCTGTCAATTGTTTTTGGGTGTTACAGTGCAGAACTTCTAACACCCCTTTCTGTACTTGACTTCTCGGAAAGTGATATTTCGTCTCAATATGCTTGCTTCTTCCATGCAACACTGGATTCTCGACAAGTTTGATTGCAGACTTGTTATCAATCAACAACTTTAGAAGTTTCTCTATCTCAATCTCCAAATCTTCCAGAAGATTCAGAAGCCAAACAACTTGACATGCAGCTACAACACCTGCAATGTACCCAGCTTCACACATTGACAGAGCCACAACAGGCTGTTTCTTGGAACTCCAAGAAATAGGACCTCCCAAAAACTTGAACAAGTACCCAGAAGTACTTCTTCTGTCAACTCTATCTCCACACCAGTCAGAATCAGAATAACTCACTAATTTTGGTTCTGTCTTTCTTCCAGAAGGAAATAGCACTCCATATTTCAGTTTTCTTGATATACCTCAGAATCCTGACAACAGCTTAGTAATGAGACCACTTTGGTTTACTCATGAATCTGCTAACCATTCCAACTGCATAGAAAATGTCAGGTCTGATATTGGACAAATACCTAAGAGAACCAACCAACTATTTGAAGGTCGTAACATCCACAGAATCACCATCAGAATCAGAATCCAATTTATGATTTGTTTTTGATGGTGTCACAACAACTTTACAATTTTGCAGCTTAAATCTCTTAAGAAGTTCAAGTTCATACTTCAGCTGATGTAGAATAATACCTTTCTTTGAGTACAAAATCTCCATTCCTAGAAAATATACCATATTTCTCAAATTTGTCATCTCAAACTCATTCATCAGAACTTCTTTAAACTTGATTATATATTTTGGACAACTTCTTGTTAGAAATATGTCATCAACATATAGACACACCAGAATCATATTGCCACCAGAATGCTGCACATACACGTCATATTCCATCTCACATTTCTGAAACTTCTGCCTCTTGAAAAACGAATCAATTTTCAGATTCCAAGCTTTGGGCGCTTGTTTCAATCTATACAAGGCTTTATGTAACTTGTATACCATTTCTTCCTGATTCTTTTTCACAAATCTAGGAGGTTGTGACACATATACCTCTTCTTGTAATGGACCATTCAGAAATGCAGACTTCACATCTAGATGTATCAAAGGCCAATTTCTGTTTGCAGCAAAAGCAATCACCAGTCTGATTGTTTCATGTCTAGCTACAGGCGCAAACACCTCAAAGTAATCTAGCTCAGATTTCTGAAGAAAACCTCTAGCCACTAGTCTCGCTTTGTGTTTTCCAATTCATCCATCTGGCTTAAGCTTCACCTTGAAAACTCATATGATGCTGATGGCTTTCTTGTTTTCTGGAAGCTTTGTCAACTTCCAAGTTTTGTTTCTTTCAATAGCCTCTAGTTCTTCCTTCATGGCATTCAACCATACTTTCTTCTTGAGAGCTTCTTCAATACCCACTGGTTCAGAATCTACTAACATGGCATACTGGACGACTTCTCCTTCAGAATCTACTTCAGTGTCATGCAACATGTTAAAATCTGTAAACCTACTTGGTATTTGTCTGATTCTCTGTGGCCTCTGAACTTATTTTGAAGCTTCTCCAGAACTTAGAGCAGTGCTAGCTTTTGGACCTTGTCCAGAACTACTTCCATCAGAATTACTACCTTTAGATCTACTTCTGGAAGCTTGTCCTTCAAACCCTATGTCTTCAGAGTTTTCCCTTCTAGAAATATAATTACCACCAGATTCTGGATCATCATCAGAATCTGGACTAGAATCAGATCCACTATAAGAATCTCCCTGAGATTCAGACTCATCTTCAGAGTCTTTAGAATCAGATTCATCTTCTGAATCTGACTCGTCTTCAGAACTTTCTGAAGAATCTTCATAAACTAACTCTGGTGTTGGCGCTACACTAGAATCTGATTGATACTTGTTCCAATCCCATGTTTCTGACTCTTTCACAATAACGTCTCTGCTGATTTCAACTTTGTTAGTTTCTGGACAATAACGCGTATAAGCACCTGTACTATGGTACCCTACCAATAACATTACTTTGCTTCTATCATCCAGTTTCTGTCTTCTAGCTTTTGGAACGTGTTTGTAACATACAGAACCAAACACCCTCGGATGGCTAACACTTTGCTTATCTCCAGTCCAATTTTCTAAAGGAATGATTTTCTTCAGCTTCTTCGTTTGACACCTATTCAAAACATATGTTGATGTGGCAACAACTTCTCCCCATAACATGTTAGGTAGCTTCTTCTCTTTCATCATACTTCTGGACATATCAAGTAAAGTTATGTTTCTTCTTTCAGTAAGACCATTGTGCTGAGGAGTATATGGATCAGTAACCTCATGTTTTATTCCATTCTCCTCACAGAAATTCTGGAACTCTGTAGAGTTATACTCATCTCCACCATTCGTTCTCTGAATCTTTAACTTCTGACCACTCTGCTTCTCAGCCTTCACCTTGAACTTCTGAAACTCAGTAAACACTTCATGCTTGAATTTGATGAGTGTTACCCATGTCATTCTTGTGAACTCATCCACAAAAGACATAAAATATTTGTTTCCTCCAAGTGAAGATACTGGAAATGGTCCACACACATAAGAATATACTACTCCCAAAGCATGTTTCGCTCTTGGGGCTACTTCTGATGCAAATGGAAATCTGGGTTGCGCGCCTTTCATGCATATCTCACATGACTTCTCAGGCTTCACAATCTTCCAAATTCCATGTAGAAGCTTCTTAGAACTTAGATGCCCTAAGCTTCTATAGTTCAAGTGCCCAACCTCTTGTGCCACAGTTTACTGTTACCTTCAACGCCTTCTGCACTAAGACACTCTGCTTCAGCTGTTTCTACATTCACCTTGAATATTCTGTTGCTTCCCTGCTCAGACTTCATAATTAACTTCTGATTGGAATCATATAACGTCAAGAGGTTATCCTTCATAACAACTGAGAAACCTTTCTCAATGAGCTGACCCACACTCATCAAATTGCTTTTAATTCCAGGAACATACCAAACATATTTGATTTTTTTTTCCATTCTTCACTCCGACTCTGACATTTCTCATACCTTATGCATTAAGATACTTATCATTAGCACATCTGATCTTTGTTCTCCTTATGGAGTTAAAGTCTATCAGCCATTGTTTGTTCCGAGTCAAGTGGTTTGAACAGCCAATCTCCATATACCACCAATCTTCTGAACACTTTCCATCAGTATCAGAAGCCATCAGTAGCACAGGTTTATCATTAGAATCTCCTCTGACTATATTTTCTTCTTCTGATTTCCTTCATTTGTTTCTACAATCTCTGGCAAAATGGCCAAATTGTTTACAACAGTAACATTGAACCTTCTTCTTGTCATACCTTTCCTTTCCCTTATGATATTTCTTTTCATCAGAAGTTAAGGTTTCTGACTTCTGGAATTTATTACCACGTCTATTCTACTTCTGGTCCTTCTTGACAAAAGAAGCCTTCAGAGCTTGCTCAACTTCCCTCTCAGAAGTTCTTTCAGTCAGACGCAACTCCTGCGCTTCTAGACTGCTTTACGACTCTTCTATGCTCATGGTTTCCAGATTTTTAGAATGTTCAATAGAAACAACAATGTAATCAAACTAAGGAGTAAGCGACCTCAGAATCTTCTCTATGATTACCTGTTCAGAAAGTGTTTCTCCACAAGCTTTCATCTTATTATTGATCAGAATCATTCTGGATATGTACTCAAAAACTTTCTCACAGTTCTTCATGTTGAGATTCTCATATTACTTTCGCATGGACTGAAGTTTCACCTTATTCACTAACGCGTCACCATCGTAACATCTGACCAGTATATCCCATGCCTCTTTCGAAGTCGTCGAATCAACAATCTTCTCAAACACACTTTTATCCACACACTGATGGATATAGAACAAAGCTTTATGATCCCTCTTCCTCGTAGCTTTTTCTGCAGATCTCTGTTCTTCAGTAGCATCTGCTACAACTGGAACATAACCATTGGTAACAAGATCCA